GAGCACAGCATGGGCTGCCCCAGGCAGGCCTTGGCTCCATGCAGAGCTAGGGTGCCCATCTGTGGGCCAGATCCAAGCAACTGGCAAGCTGGATCCAGCCCATATGTCATATTTTGCCCACCCCTGAACTAGAACCTCCAGCTGTGACTCCTAGGGGATTGCTATAAATATTAGAGCAGTCATGCCCTCTCTTTTTTTTCCGCCTCTCTGGTTTCAATGAGTCTTCTTTTCATTCTTATATGGAAAAGACCTTCATTTAATAATAGTCCTACAGCACTGTGGCTAGGGTACTCCATTGGGAAATGTATGTTGGACTGCCTTCAGACCAAGGCAGAACTAAACCAGAGTCTTTTACTTTGTTGGGTGAATGCTGTATCCAGCAGGCCATTACACAAAGCCCTTACTTGCAAAAGCTGCACCACCTTTCTCCTGTGCTTGTCCTTTGCTCTAAAAGAAACCAGTGAACCTTGCTCACTCCTTTGAATAAGAGGTTGTAGTCATTAGCCATCAAGAGAGAATTCCAGATTGTGGATTTCAAGTGGTTGTTTTGTTAGCACTTCAGTCATCCCAGACAGGGGCAGGACACTGGACACACCCTAGTCCTCAGGCTTTCATATGGGCTAATTTAGGCAGCTCCCTGCTCAATGTGTTACCTGTTTTGAATCCTATTTTGAAGCACATAATTCTCCCCAGGCATTATACAGGAGCCTAGGCACCTAAAATTAGACTCTGGATTTCATACAGTGGAAGGGGTGGGGATAAGCAAGTAAAAATTAGTCACTGTTGCACCAAACCCTTATGTGACTAATTGCTTTGTTGGACCAAATCTTTAATCTACTCAGTGATTCAGTTTCTCATCTATAAAAGAGGCATAATACTTCTGTGCCTCAGAATGAAATGTTAATTATTGTAGGTGCTTAGAAACTATTGTTCTGGGTTGTGCAAGTATTTGGACAGATGAGGTCTAGTACAGCTCCCTCTAGTCCTGTGGTTTTCAACATTTTTTCATTTAGGTATCCACCTAAAAAATGTTGAACAGAGGTGCAGACCCCCTTGTATTGTAAGTGGGGTATTCCCATACCTTTGATTGATCCTAGTCATCTTTTGCAGACCCCTTAGACATAGTCTGTGGACCCCCAGGGGTCCATGGAGCACAGGTTGAAAACCACAGCTTTGATCTGAATAATTTGTTGCTGGCTCTCGTGTTAGCATAAATATTATAATATGTCATGTTTTACTTAAAGATGAAGCTCCTGGAGACAAACAACAATCTGAACTTTTTTTTTTCCAAGCAGGGTTTTATATTGCAGAAAAAACCTTGAAAGGATTTCAGTTTATCCTAAAATTAAGAAGAACTCTCTCACTGTGAGGGTGGTTAAACATTGGAATAAGCTACTGGGAGACGTTGCAGAATCTTCATCCATGGAATTTTTCAAAAGCTGGTTAGACAAGTTTGACTGGGATGGTTTACTAAGGGATGATCCTGTCTAGAGCAGAAGGCTAAACTAGATGGACTCACAAGGTCCCTTTCAGCCATACTTTCCTACGATCATGCCTCAACATAGAAGACATAGCTGTAACAATCAATATGGCTCAGCACTGAAAAATACACAGTTCTTAAATCACTTTCTGCTTTAAATGAGAGATGCAAACTGACAATAGAATTAAAAGCCATATTATTATTTTGTAAAGACTGGCTGTGTCTACACGAGATGCTGACTGCACAGTTGTTGCTGCACAGTCATTTAGGACTAGAACAGTTTTTTGGTGATGCTGGCTGCACAGTAGCTTGTTACTACTGTGCAGTCAGCAACTTGTGGGCATGGCCAGTGCCAACATTTTGGAAACTACTTATAAAAGATAGTTTTTTTTCTAGGGCAGGACACTAATTAATTAATTAATTAATAAGGATGGAAGAACAGGGAGGGCATTTATTTTACTTGTATGTTTTACAAGAACCTTCCATTCATGCACATATAGCTCTAAAAAAAGTACAATTTTATTGCAAATAGAAGTATTCATTATATAGATGACCTAAACCATTTCCAAGCAACTGTGAAAAGTCAACAGCTGGCAATGATTTAGGATAGAGAGTCTTAACAGAAAATCTTGGCAATGATGCCACTTATTAGAGTGCAGTTTATGTGTGATATCTCAAAGCAAGAACTTTAGTGCCTGCCCCCATTTCACACAGTCAGAATTTGACATCCATGAATGCATATATCTTGGAAATAAAAACCAGGCAATATAAAAGAAAGCTTCTTTGAAGATCTATTCTGGCTTACTCTATTTGGGTCACTCTTGGTTGCTTTAACCTTATTAGCTTAATATTGGTACTAGTTTCAGGAAAATGTCTGAGGGTGACACTAATGACTTGTAAAACATATTCCCCAGTTAAAAACTGGGCTAGGTTCCCACCTGAGTGAGCATTTCACTGGCTCCCATGAGAACAAAGAAGAGAATCTTACAGAAGCAGGTAGTACCTGCCATGATAGGAGAACAGCTCTGGAGAAATATTTGGCTGCTTAAATATTTTTTAGTCCAAGGCCTATGAAGTCCTTAGTTCCCAAATCTAATTTTTTCTCCTATTCAAGTAAGGACTTCAACAATACAGATGGGAAGTGATAGTGCCTCTCTACTTGGCACTGGTTAGGCCTTATCTGGAATACTGTGTGCAGTTCTGGGCTCCACATTTTAAAAGGGATGTGGAGCAGTTAGAGAGGGTCCAGAGGTAGGCAACAAAGATGATCATGGGCTTGGAAGGCAAGTCATGAGGCAAGACTGAAGGAGCTACACATGTTCTGTTTGTGGAAAAGGCACTTAAGAGGGGATGTGATAGAAGTCTTCAAATACTTGAAGTGCTGCCATAAAGAAAAGGGAAAGCATCTTTTCTCTGCTGCTGCAGAGAAGACCCGGACCAATGGCTTGAAGTTACAGCAAAATAAACTTAGATTGGATATCTGGGGAAAAGCTTCTTCACTGTGAAAATAGTGAGGCAGTGGAGTAGACTGCCTAGGGAAGCTGCAGACTCTCAATCACTGGAGGTGTTCAAAAAGAGGTTGGACAGCCACTGTTCAGGGATGATCTTGGTGTAACTGTGCCTATGTTCTACCATGGGTAACCCCTATGCTTCTGGGCTTTGCTGGCTGTTTCTATCCCCTCTTGCCCTTTTTTCTGTTACGTATGCCAAGGTGTTTAATCCTCCCCAGAAGCATTGGGTGTTGGCTATAGCTAAAGCTGGGATTTTTAATTGGGATGTGTCAACTCTTCTGCTAGGAGCAAAGCTGGAGGTTCCTGGCTAGAGGGCCTTGCCTCTCTGCTCAGGGTCAAACCGATTACCACATTTAGGGTTGGAAAGGAATTTTACCCCATGGTCATATTGGTATGGATTGCGGGGGTTTTTGCCTTCTAGTGTAGCAGGGGGGCATGGCCCTCTACCCAGGACCTCGAGCACATATTGACTATATTTTACAAAAGCAGGACATTGACTGACGTGGTTTTCCTGCTTTACCAGGGGCACATTAGGGTGTTAAATCTATGTTGTGTCAAGGTTGAAGGTAGTCTTATGTAGAGTCTGGGATGGTTTGGAAAGGGAGAATCATGCCTCAGGCAGGAGATTAGACTAGGCTCGTGGGCTGCATTTTGCCCACCCATGGACTAGGTGATCTCTGGAGGTTTCTTCCAGCTGTACTTCTCTATGATTCTATGGGACACCGACATACAGGAGAAAAAGCAGACACATTTGGCAGAGCTCTGTTGATCTAGATGGGAACAGACATAACATTTGAAGTGCTTCTCCCACCTTGGAAGTCCTTCAATGAACTGATGTACATGCCCTTTGAAGTGCTCCAAAAGTTGAGGCAGTACTTCAAAACTGACCCTGACTGAGACAAGTATTATTTAGAAGTGCTTTAAAATGAAGTGCTTCAGGTCACATGTACTTGCTCAACAACAGTGGCGCTCAACCTTTTTGGCAGCCATGCCATAAAATTAACCCTGTACCCTCCCCAAGTGCCACCCTGATTCCCTGCATGATCTGTGCTCGTTCTGCTCCCTGCCCTATGTTCCCTGCCCAATTTGCTGTTCTCCTGCCTGCCCCTTTCTCAATCCACCATGTACCACACAAGCTGCCCATACCACTTTCTGGAATGTGACATGGAACATGACCTGGGTCCTCCAGCATCCCACAATGCTCCTTCTCCTGTTATTGTGCCTCTATTTTCTCCAGAGTGCCTTCTTGCCAGAACCAGGAGGCCCTGTATTCTTTCACTAGAATGAGTATTCCCATACCCAATCCCTGCATATCTATGTCCAGTCTCCCAACCCTGGCACATGAGGGCTGGGCCCTCTGGTTTCCCCAAGTCTGGCAGGCTGGGGGTGGTGTTCAGGACAGCAGAAGTGGATTGGACAGAAGAGTGCTCACTGACATCAGCTTTGCTTCCCTTTTTCTCCCCCCTCCCTTTAATGGGGAGAGTGGAGCCACAGTCTACTGCATTCCCTGCTCCTGGCAGTGGAGCAGCAGAGATGAAAGTTGTGCACCCTGGCAGAAGAGCTCACTGTTTAGCATTTGCAATGCTCATTAATAGTTCACCAGTCTACTCAAAATGATGAGAGCTCAGAATATTGAGCTAGTGTTGTTGCAGAACCCATGTGAAACCTTTTCTGAAATACTTGTTTCTTGTATTTATTTCAACAAAAGCAGACTCAGGAACCAGACTTATTATTGCACATGTGCTCTGTGCACTGAGGATTTAGATTTTAACTTCCGGTAAATCTGTTTTTAACATTACTCATTCTAGCTGTAATATTATTATCTAGCACTTCCACAGGTCTGAAGTAGTTCTATCCACTGGGAAAAAAACCCCAATTCTTACTAAAACTAATAAAATTTGGTGGCCTTGCTTTACAAAAATCTAAAAACTTCAGATGTGAGACTTAATGACAGATCACTGAACAGACGCATAGTGAGGGTGAACTAGTTTCAGAAGGAACAGCATTCATCATTAGAATTTAAGTACTTTATTTCAATGTACATGAATTAAAATAACTTAGTTTTACAGAACAGGAGAAATATATTGCTGGGCTGGCCCAGTGGGAAAATGCTCTCCGCTGTAAAGCAGTGAGACTGATGAGAGTTCCAGTCCTCAGTTTGCTTGTTGGACCAACAGGACTGGAAGTACTGAAGAGGCTCATTTCCCCAGGAGGACTTTAATTTCTCACAAAAATGAATAGTGAAATAAAACCACTCCTGAGTTGGACAGATACTGAGCTCAATGCTGAGCCTCAGAGAGGGTACAGATCCCTAGCAACTGAAGAGCAACAGTGCAATCAAGCGTACTGCACTGGAGTCTCAAATTAAAACCAAAAACATCATCTCTCCCAATATTTTTGTCTGGCAGCGTCTCTTGTACAAACTTGTACAATAAAAATTCACACATCCAAGACCACGGAATTATATTATATAATCCTGCAAAGAAGGCAGTTTTTGATAGGCTTGTTGCCACGTGCTACTACCTGCTGTATCAGCTTTAACATGCAGCATACGTAGTTGGTAAAAAGGCGTTTCTTTTGATAACCTACTTCAAAATTGATAGATGTTAAAACTGTTTTACAGCTCATAGTGCAATGCATTTAATTAGTTATTGTCACACTATGGCACTATAAGATAAGCAATGATTTAAGATGTGCTATGACGGTAGTAGTTACTTGTAGCTCTTGCCACTAAGTCTCTTACTGAAAAATGATCAATGGTATAAAATACTAAGACGTAGCTTATGGAAATGTTTTGAAATAACTATTAAACTTATAGTTAAATAGATTTTATCATAATTTCTCAGATGATATCTAGTTCAAAGGGCTCAGATTCACAACCTATAAATGACCTCCAGAAGAGGTGGAAAATATTGAAAATTTCTTCTGATGCGATTCCATTGTATAAAACAGTATAGAAAAATGAGCATTAGGTGAAAATGTAATGAAAACAATAGCCTTTATAAAAACATTCCTAGAAATGTACCAGGCTTAACAAAAAGATGATTTACAAAGATTTTTAGGCTTGGTTTCTAGTCATCATCAGAATCTGAGTCATATTTCTTCCCTCTGATGGTTTTTTTATCCAGTTTTGTGAAGCTGGTTCCAAATTTCTTTTGGGTCTGAAAAGGTGGATCCATCAAGTTTCCACTAGAAGAAAAAAATAAAAAAATCCTATTAAAAGCAAAAATATTTATTAGTAGACACTTACATAGTGTTGGAGAAACAGCAAGTCAGAGAAACTAGTTAAAAAAAACAACAACAAAAAACCCCAACTATCTGGAATCAGCAGTGGCTGAAAAAATAGGTCCTCAATGCCCTCTTAACCACAAAGAAGTTGTCATAAAAAAATTAGAACAGATCCAGATAGTACCAGCTTGCCTATGCAGGCCCCCTTAGAAATGCCTTTTTTCAAGGAATGGTCAAGAGAGCGGGGCAGACTTCAAAGTAGAGTAGAGCTTCCACATAGGCAGCTGTGGCCTCTGCTGGATTGTTTGGGATATGCAGGATTTATGGCTAATTTTGAAAATGCAGGTTCCTTTCCCTTCATTCTTCTTGTGGATTTTACCATGAGAGTCAAAAGTCAGCTCATTTAATATATAGTAAATTCCATATACTGAAGCATTGTATCCACGGAATAAATACACCCATACAGTTCTAGCATATCTGGTTCTTCCTTATTTGCTGGATCCTCTAGGTAGATTTGCTTTGCTGTTTCTGTGTCTGCCTGCTACAGATGTGGAAAAGATGAAAAGGGCATTTCTCCCCAAAAGGTTAATGGACATGCCCAGAGGAAAAATGAGTCTCATAAAAGGATCTAAAGAAAATCAATGCCTTAGATTTGAAGTGCCTTAACTCAATTGCCAATATACTTCAAGGGTGGGGGAGGGGGGAGGCTTATGTCATGGGCAACCTCTATGTGTAGCACTCAGCAGATTGGGAAAGGGACAGGTACAACAGTGGCAAGCAGGGCAGGAAGCACAAAACAAAGCAGCAAAGTTGGTCAGGGAGCACAGGGAGGAAGCAGAAAGCAGAGCAGTAGACCAGGCAGGGAGTACAGGGCCGAGACAGCAGAAAGCCAAGCAGCAGACTGAGCAGGGGAGGGGGATTGAAGGAGGGTGCAAAACTAATCTTAGCCATTCCTGCCAAAAATGCCTGGCTCCCAGTGTACTATAGTATGTTCTTCCCAATCTAGAAGAGATTTTCTTCTCTAAACATCCATAATTTGAAGATTAAATATTTCAAGTTGGATGCAGATAAATTTAAATACAGGCAACTGGTAGGTGGACACCTGCCCCCCCCCCAAGATTGGCCCCGCTCAAGACAGGAAAGTTTTTTTGCTGCATGAGCCGGCAGAGTGTTGCCGGCAGGGGACGGGACTAAGCTGCAGCACAGAAGTATGGGAGTGGATATGGGGCTTTTGGCCCACCCCTGGGCCTGCCCACAAATTGTGTCTCCCCAGACTCAGGGGGCACCAGTCATCCTTGAGTTTAAGGAAACAATTTTCCATGCTTTAATAATTTGGCTGTTTAAACAAGTCAAGAACGTTAAAAACAAAAGATCTACACTAATGTGATGCAATGGTTGATGTTTTATCCACATAACCACCCCAACTCGGTCCTGGAGACCCAAGTATCTTCTTCTGATGATCACAAGACAATGTGACAATTCTCTGCAAATGCATCAAGCCAGGTGCACTCCCCCCACCCCACTTCAATAAGGCTGTATTAAACCAAATTATGATTAGACTGCATCTTTCTACAACTTTGGGTTAACCTGCATTGTTCTGTATTAAACCATATAGTGTGTGAGCAAATCATCAAGTTAACCATAATACTGTCTAAAGATTTATGCACCCAACACATCTGGACAATCTTCTCCCCCTTCAGTGTCGGGAGAGGGAGACAAGTCAATATTCAAAAAACAAGGGCCTTCAGCTTCGACCCAGCAGCCACTGAGAGGAGCTGGCTGTCCTAATTTTTGTTTTAGCTACTCTACAGGTAATAAGACCCATATATGTACATTTTCAATATGTTGCCAAGAGTTATTTTCCTTGATTTGTTTTTCTTGCCAAACTTTACAGCCATAATGAGATTATTAGATCACTTGATTCTTGCATAGATTTGACATCAACGTAAATTGAACTCTTATATACATTCATATTTTACCCTTTAACCCATCCTGCATTAAATTAAAAAAACAATGTAGATTACCTGTAATTGATTATGCCTGAACACCCTAGTCTCCATTCTAAGGTCTCTGTGGTGAAGTCATCTGTATTACCAAGATCAGTAAAGCCAACAATAAAATCTTGTGTTTTTCCATCTTTTACTAGTGCTAGAGTGGGAATTACTTTGATGCTCAGTCTCTCGCACAGGAATGGAGATTTTTCGGCATTTAATTTTATGAATTTTGTCTCGATGTGTTTTTTTGCCAGTATTGTCAGGTGTTTGTCTACTATTTTGCACCTGTAAAAAAAACCAACAAAAAAACCTCAAAACAATTCAAATATTGATGAGTTAATTCTTTCAGTACCGAATTTTAAAATCGTATCTTAAGAACCAACATTACAGAACTAACATGCTACTTTTAGAGAAAAAATATCAAAGCATAGTTTAAATAGGGGTGCTTAATCTCTGGCTATCTGCAGGCCAAATGCAGCTTGTGGAGCCATTCCATCTCCCCATTGGGCAGGAAATTTGGCAGCAGGGGAGCAGTGGCCATTAATACTGCCATCCTTGCCCCACCAAATTCCCAAACCCAATCCCTGTGCAGCTGAAGCTGGGCCATGCCCCCTTCCCCCTCCTTGCCAGGCCAGTTTCAGAGTGAGATGCACCCTTTCCACCCTATGAGGCCAAGGCATGCCCCCTTCCCCCTCACAGGACTGGATCACATCACCTTCCCCGTGGGCCAAGGAAGAGCCCCTCCTTCCACAGGGCCAACTTGGGGCCAGGCTGTATCCCTTCCCCACCATAGAATCATAGAAGTAGGGTCAGAAGGGACCTTGTAGATCTTCAAGTCCGACCCCCAGCCTGGGTGGGAGAAAAGACTGGACTCAAATGAGTCCAGCCAGGTAGTCATCAAGCCTCTTCTTAAAGGTCCCCAGGGTAGGAGCCAGCACCACTTCCCCTGGAAGTTGGTTCCAGCTCCTAGCTGCCCT